CATGAACGTGTTCAAGACTCCGAATACGCTGAATGATGGACAACAACCTGTTGATAATTTCACCCCTAGAGCCAATTTAAAATGTTTTAAAGACGGTGCCATTTCATCTGGCGCTAGTGAGGTGAAAGAAGCAGCAGATCGGTAGTTTTGTTGAGGAGAAGTACTTGAGTATATCAGACATCTTGAGGAACTGCAAATTGTATCTATGATAAGAGAGAATTCCGGATTGTACTCCTTCGATTCCGAATTCTAGAGGGGGGGGATTGAAAATTTTAAAAACTTGGAGGGGGGCATCGAAATTTACCGATAACCAAAACAGGGGCCCTGTAAAAGTATGAGCTTTTTTCAAGACATCTTCATCCCCTTCCCTCGGTGTAATAAATGTACTTTCCCTAATTTTAAAACTGTCACTAGTTTGTCAGTGTTCTTCTTTTTATTCCTCTTTTGTTCAGTTACTATTCTCCGAGGATTTGCTCAAGCCTCAAGCGCAAATTCTCGGATAATTCAATAGCAACCGCAAGCGTCAAGCGCAAATTTTTGGGTGCAAAATATCATGGAATAGTGCTTATTTGAAAGTGAAAGTGAGAGTGGTTGTCAACCATACTTTTTTTATTTAAGACTTAAAATTTGAAGGAATTTCCTAGAACATTTCGATGGATGAGATTTCTCTCAAGTGCTATGTTTCATAACAGTGTTCTATTTTAATTGGTGACCATCTGATTAACATATGTATAGTTCGGCTAATCTTTATTCCCCGCATATTTCCCGAAATGATACATGGCCCAAATCCAGTCAAAATAGTTAACATGCACAACTCAACGAAAACGAACGTATAGCCTCATTAAACGAACGATCTATTCGTCGAAATGCATAGAAACTGGCCTGCTCATTGGTAGAGACAGCACATCATGAATTATCGTCTGATATTGAACGAATATTATAATCACATACCGTTCCACGTAACAAACGAGTTAATTCTCATTGGTTAAGACAGCTGACAGCACATCATGAATTTGCGACTGGTGCATGTTACACAGCGAATGGACTTATACTCGCAAGGACAATATAATACAATTATAAGTTGTTCGAAATCCATTGTCATGATATTCAATATTTTAGAAAGGACTCGACACTTGCCCATGTTAAACTCCAAAACAAATGTTCACATTGACAGGCAGGCATTACTGTAATTCGTTGAAAAATCCGGACCATTAAACTCACAAAGTTAGGAAACAAAACTCCCTCAATACGTGGAGTTGGGCTTTGCAAGGAATAATAATTGATAGAAACGCTGAAGTAACATATTAGCGGTTAACAATAATGCATGGTTTACTTCGTTATTTAAGCCAAGATACCTTTCTTCCTCTAACAATTATTCAATATTCCCACTCAGTACACACAAATCAACGGAGAATAAAAGATTACACCCGTTTTCAAAATTACGCGACCAAGGACGAAAATGCTAGAGTTGACATGTCAGTTTTATGTCATTCGGTCACGAAGTTTAAACTTCGAGTGCGGTTCCTTGTCGAGGTATATGCTTTGTATGCTAAATATAAACAGGCTTACAATGATTTTCAAGATATTTTAGTGAGAATTATTGCAAAATTTAAGCACAAACAAAATCATAACATCACCGTTATAGACTAGCGCGCGTGTTTTATACTGACATCTAAATTCCAGGATAAATTGTTATTTTTCAAACTTTAAAAGTTATTCACGGCACATATTTCTGTTGTGATGGTTTGTATTGTGCTTTAGTTTGTATATCTAAGTTATCTAACTCATTTTTGTTCAGTTTTGGTATTAAATACGGTTTAAAATGTCTTTTGACAGTTTGTTTACGTTTGCTATATTTTTAGCAGTTTTTGTGACATAAAACTGATATTTGAAGTAAGAGTATTTTTCAGGGAGGTCGCGTAATTTTGAAAATGGGTGTAAGTACAACTGATAAAAATTGCGGAGCGGTTGCAGCCTCATATATTGACTCGTCCATCGTGACTACGGTTGAAAAACATCAAGGCATTATTAAAGTATACTTGCATTTAATATTTCCATAAAGACAAGGATGAAAAGTGCAATTTGCATCGCTATTCACTATTAATGCAGAGAATGTCAAAAATTATGTGTATCCTAAAACCAAGTAACACATCCCAAAGACTATA